CTCAAGTGGATGCTGGATGGTATCGTTCAGTGGTTGGCAGTTGTCTTTATTTGGGTCGAGACCGGCCTGATCTTGTATTCACCATCAATGAAGGAGCTTGCCAGCCGCATGGCAAAGCCAACATTGAATGCGCTTCAACACTTGCGCAAGATTGTTGGGTATCTACGTACAACAGGAGAACTTGGAATCAACCTACATGTTCCAGCTGCAGGCCAAGGCAAATGGAAGTCGTGTGTTGACAAATTTTGGATTCTGGAAACGTATTCTGATGCTGATTGGGCCTCCAAGAAAGGCCATAGTAAGTCAACATCTTGCAGTATCCATTTTCTCAACGGCTCCTACGTTTTTGGTGCTGCAAGGACTCAAAGAGTCATAGCCCTCAGCTCCTGCGAAAGTGAGTTGCACAGCATCGTCAGTGGCATGTGTGACGCCATTTACATCAGACGCGTTTTGGAGTTCATACTGAATGTGCAGATTCTCCAAGTGCATTAGACAGACAGTTCAAGTGCGCCAACTGGTGTCGAGGCAGGGCTGTGGAAAGATAAGGCATCTTTCTGGAAAAATACTTTGGGTTCGGAGCAAAATCAAGGACAAGGAGGTGGAACTTGTTCAGGTGCCAACAAGCTTGAACGTCAGTGACATAGGCACCAAAGCCTTGTCTAGGAAACGACTTCTTGGACTGATGGCTGAAGCTGGAATGCTCTATGTGGAAACAGGTGAACCCATTGGTGAGCACGAGCTTGCAGACATCCACAACCAATCTGAGACAGCAAGGAGCACCTCAAAGCTTGCCAAAGCAATTTTGCGTGTGAGTTTGTTGTTGTGCCTTGGGGCAACTGGCACAACAGCGACGTTTCAGGAGGAGCAACAATGTTCTTTGGAGACAGTTGATAAGGGTTCTGAAACAATGTGGATTTGGATCTTCATGGTCTTGCTTTTCATGTTGTGGCTTGTTTTTGCGCTCACAGCTTGGTGGTTTTGGAAAAGGCTCAATGTGCGTTTGGGCCACAGTGAACGACAGTTAATAGAAGGAGACACCTACATGTGGGAGAATCGAGAGTCCATCAATGCAGAGAGAACCAACCATGATCAGCTGGTAAGGCAATTCAATGCCTTTGTGGAGCGAACAGATGGAGAAGTGAATATGTTGGAAGAATACATTGATTGCGTTCGAGATGGCTTGGTAAACTTTGGCGGTTTTGTCCGCCATACAAGTTTGACCCGTCAGCAACGTGACAGCATGTTCACCCAAGAACGTGCCAATGGTGTTCTTTTCGGGATGAGACAGCGTGAACCTGATGTAACAGATCCTCCGGTTTCAAATGCTGGTCCATCTGGTTCAGGTCTTGCAGGACCTAGCTTTTCAAGTGCAGCAGCCGTGACAGCTCCAGTGGTCACGGGGGATACCATGATGTTGGAAGATGGAAATGAAAATGGAGGAGAAGAAAGTCCCACAACAGATGATGAGGACATGGAGAATGCAGACCCGAGCACCAGAGAAGGTCACTCGACTAGGCTGGTTCACCACCTGAGGAATCAGCTCAATACTGCACTGGCAAACGAGATGTGGGAAGATGCAGGTGAGATCAATGTAACAATCCAAGCAGTTTTGGAGTCAGCCGGCTCCAGCACAGAGCTCACTATGGAGTTAGCCCAGCGTGTTTGCTCCACGTTTCAAAGGCTGAGGAGAAGGGCAAACAATAGAGTCTGAGTTGTACCGAGAGTTTGCAGAGAATTTCAATGCATACGTATGAAGTTTCACAAACAATTTTCTTGGATGATTTGCTGACAAATGTGTCAGCCAATGGTTCGAGTTTGCAATGGCATGCCGGGCACTGCCAAAACCCGAAGATTTTTTTCAGTCCAATATGGGCAGAACGATCGAAAAAGGAACAGGTTTCAACTATCCACAGCATTCTCAAGAAAATGTGGAAAACATGGTGGCTGAGTGCGTGAAAAACCTCTCAAACCCCTGAGGAGGAGTGCGAAAAAAATTTGGTTGTACTCGTAGCCACATTTGCATGCCAGTTCACAGCGATTCTGCACAAGGATGAAACGCACAAATCGAGAACCATTCAGTTGCAGTCTCACTCATACATGGTGAATCCATCCATGTAGTTCAGGCCTTTCTGTGTGCTCAAAAACCCGCTGCCGCATTGCACCCGTTTTCTTTGCAAAAAATGGTATTTCGAAATGCAAGTGTTCAAATCCTAATGTCAAACTAGTCCAATTCAGATTCGACACCACAGTCGTTTCCACAAACGGGATTTTAAATGGTTTTAGTTCCAAAAAGTTACACTTTGCCACTCAAATGTGCTCGCAAATATCCAATCCATGATTTATTTTTGTTCATCCAGGGTCGTTATTCTCGAGCTGGTCCGTTGGAAATTGCGCCATCTAAATCGTAGGCGCGACTGCTATCCAACTCAAAATTGGTTGGATACGTTGCAAAATGCTTCGATGTGCTTGGCCTCAGCCAAGCTGGTAGCGACGAAAAAGAAAAACATCCCAGGTTCAATCTGCCGTGTTTCTTTTCAAAACATGCAATGTCCGTGGTAATTTGTTTGAAATATTTTGAAATTGTGTTGAGGACCATGTCAAACCAAAACCCAATTTTTGTTCCCAGCATTCAAGGGAATTTTGCTTCCCACCGTGCCACTTGGATGATATGTTGTACGTGTTGACGCATTCAGAAGTCCAAGACTCAACACCATGCATCTGGTTCAAAATCTTTTGCTCCCAAAACAGTGCGGTTCACCTTGAAAACCTATTTATTTTGCAGCAATAGATTTCAAACCAAACAAAGGTTTGGTTCTGTACATGCTGTCCTTCAAAAGGCGACCTGTTGCGTTCATGCAGGTTGGAATTGGCGGGCAAACCATGTCTTGAATCGTGGTGGTTCGGCATTTGGTTAGCACAGGCGTAGTAACCATTTTTTGCGGAACATACGGGGTTTCAAGTTCTCTCGATTTTTTTGTTGTAGCCATCACTATTTGATTTGTTTGTGTGTCGTTGCACGTGGCACATGCGGTCCTTCACCCAACATTCCCCATTTTGAACATGACAATATGGGAATCCAAACATGTGTTTACAAACACATGAAAATGTGGGAGTCCCATGGTGTTTCTTATTTTGATATGATATGTCCTTGTTTTTCTTCACTGATCCCAGAAATTTGTTGTCTTGAGGCTTTGAGGCCTTTCACAAGGCATGACTGTGTCGACTTGTGCGTGTCATGGAACAAAAAAATAGCATCACCCAATCTTGTTTTGTGAGTTGCGACACGAATTCAACTGGACGAAAATTGAATTTAGGAATCCAAACCACGTTGGAAGCCGACACCAGCTTTATTTCAACTGGGGTTATCACCAAATTGTTCGGAAACATCACAATGGATCCTGCATTCTGTCCCAGGAGCTGGCCTTTCTGGCTCTGTTGCGTGGTTCTCGCGGGGGAACCCAACAGCAAAATTTTCCACCGAAACAAGTACCAAAAAAAAATAATATTTTGTTCTGGTTTTATCCTAGGGGAAATCAGTGGTACCTTTGGTGCACGTAACCCAAGTGGAATCGGAATCGGTCCGTCTCAAAGGATCAGTCTCCAGTTGCAAGGCCTCTCCCGCTTGGCTGGGAGGTTGGCACCAGCTACATGAAGGTTCAACGGTGATGCCAAGTGGGTTTGTCCAAGAATGGGGTTTACATCAAAATGGCACCTTCACTGGAAAAATGATGATCCACCAACCATGAGATTCTGGCGTACCGGAATTTCCGACAGACGCAAATTTGGAAATTTGGGGACAGACAAAAATGCTTTGGACAGTGATTTCCCTGGTTGGACATTGATTTAGTTCCAAAATGTTCCAAAGGCATTCTTAAAACCACGACTTGGGAGGCGATCGAACTGGGTCGCGTTTGCGCTTGAGAGTTGAAAATTTGAGGACATGTCAAGGGCCAATGCCTGCAAGAGGGGAAGAAGTGACATCCAATTTCCATATACAGAAGGGTAAGTAGGTGCCTGGCTTCTGATCGTTGCAGATGGGCCTTCGATTGTGTGCCATGCAAAGTGTTGGAGGATTCCCAAAAAGTGGATTCACCTATCAACTCAAGCAACCATTGCCTGCATGATTGACATCGTGTTTTTTCTTTCTCCCCATGAGCCGATCTTTATCATCATACTATATGAAATATAGCGTGTAATTTTGTGTAATCTTCATATCGAATTCTTGCTGGCTGATTCACACTTTTATTTAAGGGCTGACGCCCGACGCCCACTTGAGGGTAAAGGATCATAAATAGACTATAAAGAAAAAATGAGGGTGAAGGATCCCAAATATGATTGTTGTTGTTGTTGTTGTGGTTGTGGCCCATCTGCAAGGTCTGTAGTAGGCGCATCTTGCGGCGAGGTTGGCCCAGCTTGCGGCTATGTTGGCCCCGCTTGGACCAGCTTGGGGCCATATTAGGGGCTATGTTGGCCCGTCTTCGAGCTATGTTGGCCCATCTTGAGGCTATGTTGGCCCATCTTGGGGCTATGTGGGCCCAGCTTGCGGCCCATGTTGGGCCATCTGGGGGCAGCTTCGACACGCCCAATCCCCACGCTCCTGAAGGACGAAGCGGCCCAGGCCAATAGGGCTGCCGCTGCCTAACGTCGCTTTCTAAACCGACAAGAGACTAGCTCCAAAAACCATCTCCCATGCAGCCCAGGCTGGTGGGGCTGCCACTGCCTAACGTTGCAATGCGAAACATGGAGAAGAAAGCAAGCTTCAAAATGCCAAATCCGCATGCTCCTGAAGGACGAGGCGGCCCAGGCCGATGAGGCTGTCACTGCCTAACGTTGCTTTGTGAACCGACAAGAAACTAGCTTTAAAAAGCATCTCCCACGCGTAAGAAAGGAAGGCTGCCACTGCCTTTCTGAACCGGCAAGAAACTAGTAACTAGCTCCAAAAAGCATTTCCCGTGCCTAAGAAAGGGGGGCTGCCACTGCATAACATTGCTTTCTGGAGCATGAAGAAGAAAGCAAGCAAAGCCAGCGGAAGCCACCCTGCGAAACGCCAAATCCTCATGCTCCTGAAGGATGAGGTGGCCCAGTCCGACTAGCTTTAAAAAGCATCTCCCACGCATAAGAAAGGGGGGCTGCCACTGCCTAACGTTGCTTTGTGAAACATTAAGAAGAAAGCAAGCTTGGAAACGCCAAATCCCCATGCTCCTGAAGCACGAGGCGGCCCAGGCCGATGGGGCTGCCACTGCCTAACGTCGCTTTCTGAACTGACAAGAAACTAGCTGCTAGCTCCAAAAAGCATCTCCCACACATAAGAAAGATTAGAAAGAAGAATATTTCCGCCACGCCCACAACGCTTTGGCTTCGGCATGCTGCTGGTGCTGGCAACATGTTTCGGAAACTGGCTTTGCTCTTGCACCTGGTGTTTTCTTCCTTGTCTCTTGCTCTTGAAACTTGCTGGTTTGCTGTCCGTCGGCTTGCTTTCGTCTTCCTTATCTCTTTTGCTTCCGCCTTGCTCGTTTGTTCCTTGCTTTCTTCTTTTGTCTGCTTCCCTCTCTCTGGCTCTTGTAGTTTGCTCCTTTCTTGCCCCTGGCTGATTGTAATGTCTTTTCTGACGCGCTCCCCCTTGCCGTCGGCGGGGTCGGCGGATATAAGTCCTTTTATCATATTTAAGTGCCTACGGCAAGCCCGCCGGCCATAGCCCGTGCTTTTCTGTTAAGGCTCTTTGGTCTGTGTGTAAAAGCTTCTGTGTGTAAAAGCGCCTGTGTGTAAAAGCGTCTGTGAGTAAAAGCCTCTGTGTGTAAAAGCTTCGGTGTGTAAAAGCTTCTGTGTGCAAAAGGTTCTGTGTGTAGAAGCGTCTGTGTGTAAAGCGTCTGTGCGTAAAAAGCCTCTGTGTGTAAAAGGTTCTGTGTGTAAAAGCGTTTGTGTGTAAAAGAGTCTGTGTGTAAAAGTCTGTGTGTAAAAGCTTCTGTGTGTAAAAGCGTTTGTGTGTAAAAGCGTCTGTGTGTAAAAACGTCTGTGTGTAAAAGGTTCTGTGTGTAAAAGCTTCTGTGTGTAAAAGCTCCTGTGTGTAAAAACTTCTGCGTGTAAACGCGTTTGTCTAAAAGCTTGTGTGTGTCCCGTGTGAAAAAGCGTCTGTGCGTAAAAAACTTTTGTGTGTAAAAGCTTCTGTGTGTAAAAGCGTTTGCGTGGAAAAAAACACCACAATCCGTCACTCTGCTTGGGGAGAGCTTTTGGGACGGAAGCCGGGAAAGCCTCTGTGTGGAAAAGCTTTGGTGTGTAAAAGCGTCTGTGTGTAAAAAAACACCAAAAATCCTTCACTCTGCTGGGGGAGAGCTATTTGGACGGAGGCCGGGAAAGCCTCTGTGTGTAAAAGCGTCTGTGTGTAAAAGCTTCTGTGTGCAAAAGCTGCTGTGTGGAAAAGCGTCTGTGTGTCAACGCGTCTGTGTGTAAAAAAAACTTTTGTGTGTAAATGCGTCCGGGTGTAAAAGCTTCTGTGTGTCAAAGCTTCTGACGAGTCGAAGTCGGAGTACGCGTCGGAGTAGGCATAGTCGTCGTCGTCGTAGTAGTAGTAGAAGTAGTAGTAGTAGTAGTAGTGGTAGTAGTGGTAGTAGTGGTAGTAGTGGTAGTAGTGGTAGTAGTAGTAGTAGTATTAGTAGTACTAGTAGTACTAGTAGTACTAGTAGTACTAGTAGAAGAGGGTGGGGGGGATGGACTCAAATCAGACGAGGCAAAGATGTGCGGGGAGAGAACAAAGGAACAAGTACAAGCCAAGAACAGAAACAAGTACAAAACAAAAACAAACAGAAGAACAACACCTCACAATCAGACACGCCGGCAGGCCGGCGGAATGTGGAAAACCCAATGCCCTGCACCATCCCCAAAACATCCATTTTGATTGGTGGTATGAACCATCCCCAAATGGTAGTTGCTTATGCCAGGAGCGAGGGCAGCGGTGTGCCTGGTGTGCCACAACGGCGCCTGGCGGCTGTGGCGCTGGCACTGTCCCTATCCCTGGCAGGTGGGGTTCAGCAAACTTGGGACAGCCAAAAATACGGGAGACACCTTAGAAAAAAACATTGAAACAAGATGACCAGTAACAAGAGGGAGAAAAAATGGGGAGAAATGGAGAGAACATGGCTTTTGATGAGGTTGATGAGGGTGTAATTAATGTTAGCCATTGCTCCTTTAGCTTAGATTGGTCTCAAATTAGGGAGAGACGCCCGGAGCAATGGATCCCCGAGATTGAATTTTGAGTTCCTCTATCTTTAGAATCAACTTTGTACCCTTCGAATTCCCAACAGGTTTTTGTTGAGTTTCAATCTCTGGGTCTGGGAACGGTGCGTCGTTTGCTTGCCAAACCCAAAAACCGGAATGGAAACGGAATGGAATCCTGGAACCCCTTCTGCTGCGTTGGTTAAGATCATGATTCTTTTTGATGATATCCCAGGTTTTGTTGGTGAAATCCAGATTCTCTGATAAATGTTGTTGGCAACTCTTCCCAGG